GAAGCGTTGATAATAACAATTAATAAACGTAGTTTTTGATTAAGGAAACGCATCCTGTTAATATAAAACAAAAAAACAACGATTAGGAGCATTCTCAGAGCTCAAACAAATTATTGAAAAAATTATGTGTATAAATACCTCTGATAATATGTGTCGTACAATATTTGTAGTTAGTCTAAATATATATGTGTGAAGCCACAGACCGTCTAACTTGCAAATTAGAGAAACAAACCAGATTTTAAGAAATTAATAAAAAAAATAAATATAAAATTAGTTAAAAGACAAAATCAAAATACAAGTAAAAGATAAAAACATAAAAAATAATAAATTAATTTTGAAAAATATCTATACCTTGAACGGTTCGTCAAAACTATGTAAAAAGAAATTAGAAATGTGACATGTGTCCACAGCAGTGAGTGGGATTCGACTAGCAAAAATGTAGGACGGAAAGGAAAGAGGGGATAGGTTATAGGAGAGAATTACAGGGTGGGGAATTTTCTAAGTATTGGTAGATATGTATCTGGTAATAATTCGGTGTCCTCCTGTTTATTCAGTCCTATATTCTGTCTTTTTATATGTAGCATTTCGGAAGTTAATCTTTTACTATAGCAAGGTTCTCTGTCTAATATGTCGATTTCGTCCCATTTGAAGTCGTGATTGAATTCCATTCTGTGGCAAGAAATAACTGAGGGAGAGCCTGATTTTTTATTGATATCTGTTCTGTGTTCTTTTATTCTAGTCCGTAATTGTCTTTTTGTTTGTCCTCCGTACGTAGCGTCACAGTCTTGACATGAGATCTTATAGACAATTTCACACTGGTTTATCCTATCCAAAGAATCTTTTCCAGTTTTATTTTTACAAGAGCTGATAAGGGTAATGTCACGGTTGCATTAAACAAAAACGATTATATAAACAAAATGGAAGATATTCTTTCCTACACAGAAACTTATCACATAGTTGAGAAGGACCCAACCAGAAAGTTAACTGAAAACGTGCGAACTCTACTTTTAAGATGGAAGGAAAGGGGCTATATCGACAAGCACACATATTTTCATTTGTTAAAAACTGACGGGATTTTACCGAGAGCTTATGGTCTACCAAAGATCCACAAAACTGGTTTTCCACTTAGACTAATAGTTTCTTCTATTAACAGCCCTCTTTACAATTTAGCCAAATACATACATGAATTACTTTACAATAGTTTTAAAAAACCAAACAGTTATATAAAAAACAGTTTTAGCTTAGTCAAAAAACTTAATGGAAAACATATCAATCCTGATACTTCCCAATCAGCAGACAATGTTTTTTAAATAAATTTTTAATATTTATTTTTTATTAATTGTACATTGTATAAATAATTGTAAAAATAATATTTATCTAATCTTTATTAATAATTTATTTAACATAAAATATTCGTTAAAAATAATAATTTAGAATAAATGTTTATGTAATGTTTATGTAACATTTATTAAACATAAAATATTCGTTTAAGATAACAGTTTTAAAAAAATGTTTAAGTAATGTTTAGTTAACATTTATTAAATATTTACTTATA